GTAGGCCGTCTAGTAGATGGTCAACAGACAATACCCCAATACTGGAGAGGGTGAATGAATGAACGTCATCATAGCTACTGAAAATGCGTCGAGCGCGGAATGTCGATGACGGGACGGATCACAATGCCAAGACGCTAAGCAGGAACGGCTGGTGCAGGTCGCACCTGCCAGTCTCGACTGAAACATACTCGAATCTTCATTGAACCAGGCAAGATGCTGCTGCTATGCTTATCGCCTCCTTCTATTCAATACATCTGTTATCATTCCGCACAAAAGATCTACCTCGCAAGCATATCGATTGCCTCGTACCCAAAGGGTTGACCTTACTACAACTGCGCCTACTCCAGCCTGACCGGACCCCAAGTCTGAGCATTGAGCTTATCTTTATTCTAACATTGAAGTGTTGGTGAGGGTCGACCCCACGAGACTTTAAGCAGGACTTCCCTTGAAGGACTTTGCAACAGTTCAGCTGCACGATGTATTGAAGCTGCAAAGCTGCTGCCTGATAATTCGGGCAGTGTCCGTGGCCAGCAGATCGCCAGCACTACAACAATCCTCGGCTAATGTATCGCATGCAAGCCAGCAACGGCAGTGTACATGATGACCATTCAACTCAAAAGCCTCGTGTAGCGACACTGCTGCAAGGATGCATCGGCGGACATGGTCTGCTGTTATCGACAAGCGAGCCAAAGCCATTCTCGTCCGATAAACCTAAACAGCCAGATTAAATGTATTGCCAACCAACGCATCGTCATGCGCCGCCAACCGAGCACTATATCGGAGTATTGAAATCATCCGAAGGCAGTACAGTGTCACAACATACATGCTTGTTCATCTGCCGTGTAACCTCGATCGGAAGAAAGAGGACCTCTGGATTGGTCTATACATACTGGCATTGGAATATGTCGTCCCGTACACGGCTTCGCGAACTGTTTAGCATGGCGTCGACGTGACTGATGCTCGTATGAGGACTTGCGGGTTAGTCGTGGTGCTGTTGGAGGGACTTTTCCGATGGCTGAGGGCGGTATAAAACGGAGAAGTGGAAGCATCAAGTTGCACTGTCGCTCTGTCGTGGAGGCATCTTCTGCTTGGTCTCATATTTCATCGGAGTCGCTCGTTCACCACCCTCGTTTTGGACACAGCGTACATCATGCGCCTCATCATCCCAAGCCTCCTGGCCCTGATAGCCTCAGTCAGGGCCGCCGGCATCGCTGTCGTATTGAACAACTCACCAGACCCCATCTATGTTTGGTCCGTCGGCGGCACAGTCGGTCCCCGCCACGATATCAAAGCTGGTAGGACACACGCGAGCTTTGACTTCGTTTTCAACTAACAGCCACAGGCGGTATTTACTGGGAGGAGATGCACCATGACGACAAATCCGGAGGCATTGCGATCAAGATGACGAAAGAGGCGGACGGTCTAAACTCCGGTGCTCCTCAGCAGGTGTGGGCATACAACCTGGATGGCGGAACGGTGTGGTACGATCTCAGCACTGTCTTCGGGGCGCCATTCGCGGGTAGCCGATTAGATGTCACTGGAGATAATGGGGGTAGCATTGTGTGGCCGAATGGGATTCATCCAGGAGGCAACCAACTCACCAAGGCTCCGAGCGAGGGAAACATATTCTTTTCCATCAATCCTGCTTGAGCAATGGAGGATGGCTTAGAGATATTGAAGAGTAAAGCACCTCAGATGGATCGGAGCAGACTGCAGTGTGTCGGTATCTAGACCGGGTGGATGCATCCATTATACCGATTTGTGAAAGATCTTGATGACGAGTGCGCCAGAACAATTTGAGATGATTTTTCTTCACTGCTCTTTCTGGTGATGATTGAACCCGTCTGACGGGCACTCTTCGGTGCTTAACAATTAGCAGCTGTCCGTCGGAAGATCATTGCTCAAGTCGATGTGCAAACTGACAGCGCACGTGTGAATTGGCAGTGGTCGCAAAAATTGTGGGCGAACCGTCAAAATGGGAGACGTGGGGTCGGCCGTGCTTTCCAGGACTGGTCGCGAAGAGGCAGTCGCAGATTGCCGCCTTCAGAGAGCTCCTTCCTCTGCCCAGCGATCGAATCGCCGCGTCTAGAAAGAGTCACCGACATTGGACTCCATCCAGGTGCGTCTGAAGGATCTCTGGATGGCGACCGACAGCTGTCTGTGCAACGCCACATTCTGTTGTGCTTCCGCTGCGCCCGGGCTCCCCAAACCACAGCCCGCCTCAGGCGTCCGGTCGCGAGTCATTGCGCCGTTTTTCGCACACCATCAGACGCCATTCCACCAGTACAGTAATCATTCATGCCACCAAGCCGAGATGTCGCCGTCTGTACAATTATTCCATGGCCACGCCGCAATCTGCTTTCATCTATCAAGGGCGTCATCCCATCTTATGTCGAGTTGGCATCTTGTGTAGCCTCGGTTCTGACGTCCCGACCGGGTGTATCCTATCTCCAATCGCTGCCAGTCGCCTGCATGGTGCTACTGTATGATAGCGACTGCGGGCGGTATCGCGCCATGAGCATCGGGTGATGCAAAATTGAGCCGCATCTAGGTGCTGATCCGCCGCTGTCAGCACCAACAGCTTTTCCTGTGATTGCGACAGCCTTCAAGGGGAGCCTGCCCAATCTTCGATCTCGCGAAATGACCAGAAACATCGCGAGATACGACTAAAGAGGCAACACCAAGCTAGACGGAAAACCAGAGTCTGGAGTCAGACTGCATTCACACCTTTAGCCGCCCTTGGGGAGGGTTGGCGTGCACAATAGCTGCCACCGCCCACTGCTAAACGCGATGCGCCCCGCTCCAGGAACGGCCCTCCGCAAAACTTATTGGTATGCTAGTTTAGCATTCGTCTCCCTGCGTCTGTAATTCGCTTGCTGCACCATGTCTTATCAACCCTCCGCCTGGAAACACCCTGGTCACGTTGCACATGGCGGCCGCTTTCGGGGCCACGCAGACCTTTCCAGGCAAAAGGCCCTACCTCGCCCTATGCCAACGACGCTCAAGCATGCGCCTTCTATTGCCCTTCTTCTGGTGATTGGCTTCTAAGCGGCGACCCGACGCCATGTATTCGTCGCCATGCCGCTTGCCACAACCAGAGGCGTTCCGAGAGGCGGATCAAATTGTGTACCACAATCAACAGCCGATGTTTCTGGCCCCGCTGACGCCTGACAACAGCATTGTCTTACTCCATACTTACTGAAGCCTGACAGCCACTCTCTCCGTCATCCGATTTTCTTCTTCCTGGAGATGATCACCAGCTCACCACTCGGCGCACGACTCGTGTCTTGTACTAACACGCGGGGCTCGCAGACATAAGAGCTCCACCACAACCCATCAATCGGCACAATGAGTGCGAGGACATTGACAAACGTCGTCAACGACCAAACGGTCGCCTTGAATGCTCTGATCTATGGATACGCCGGGCACAGCCTCGTCACCCCGCAGCACGCTCTCCAGCAAATATGGTGGACCGAGGAGCGAATCAACGAAAAGGTCAACCATGACTTCGTCACTTCAAGGCTACAACCGAAAGAGAGAGAACGTCTCACACAACCTGTCGGCTTCGGCGATCTGAGCGACGACACCTACATCGAATGGATTCTGGAAAAAGCAAGACGACTTTTTCTGATATTGGTCGAGATTGGTGAAGCGGATAGGATCTTCGCTGTCGTTGACAGATCGTGGGACGACGATGATTTACCTCTGGAAATGGACGACATCGAGCAGCTTTCACTTTCCAATCGCCGCGATAACCACGCCGATGCTCGCTTCTACCACACACAATTCACATTCCTCCTAAGAGAATTGCGGGAAGGCATACATATCGATTATGCGCCCAACGAGGAGATTCCAGTCGAGAACGTAATGTCTCTGCCAGTGGCAGTGAGCTTACAGGCCTGGCAACGTATGCACCTACCGAAGAAGGCAAGGGAAATCTACGTTCGCAGGCGATTTCCACTGGGCAACCCAGAAACACCGGATGCGTTCGAAGAGGACTTCAAGATGGATGTCGAAAGCGCAAGGATGGTCGAGCATGAGCATCTTGCGCCGATCTGGGCCTCGTATACCTCCAAAGGTGTTGGTTACATCGTCACCAACTTTGTAGGGCAGCATACTCTTCGCACTTTCATTGATCACCGCAACCCGACTCAGTACCAGAAGCTGCTGAAGCCTGACCGGAGATGGCTGGTACTTAATTGGCTGCACTGTCTGGCAGACGCCATTGCAACGCTGCATCAGAATGGATTCTGCCACTCCGCCATTCGACCGTCAAACATTCTCATCGACGAGCAGAATGCGATAGCATTTAGCGACATCGGTAGCCTTGAGACGTTTCAGAAAGACAAGAAGCCCGACGCAATGGACGCCTACGTATACAGCGCGCCAGAGACGCACATCAGCACAGGACCTTTCGATCCCAATGACCCTGCACCTTCACCCACTATCCCAAACGGTCGTCATGCTTCGATGATTAGCAAGAGTTCGTCTGGATCATCTGGCAGTAACAACTCACAACGGCAAAAGCTTACCAAAGCACCTACAACGGACTTCTCCGGTTTTAACTTTGGATTCAAGAAGTCGAAGGCGAAGCCCACACCGAAGAAACGGTCGCGGGTACACGAGACTGAGAAGGCAGATGTGTTCTCGCTTGGTTGTGTCTTCCTGGAGATCATCACATTCATGCTGAAGAAGAAGCCTCACGATTTCGTAAAGCACCGTACGTCGAAGCAAAGGACCAATACTGGCGGCAAGAACTCTCGAACAGATTCATCGTATCATGTCAACCTCGACAAGGTAGAGACTTGGATGAATACACTTGAAAAGGCTTCATTTGAGCATGACGATGACGCGTTCCGGGCGATTCCTCCCATATTACAGGTCATCCGAAGTATGCTGAGCAAAGCACCTATGCTTCGCCCTGCGGCGCGTGATGTTCGCGACAAGATCTTCGACATTCTCTTTGAAAACACTTCCATACCCGACATCCATTGCGGCGCTCATAAGCATGATATCGGAGTAGCGGCATCGTCGTATTCCGGCTCGGATAGGGCGTCACTAATGACAATGTCGACAATGACTTCAACGAGTTCGAGTACCTCTGACGCGGATACCATACGCTCAAGCACGACGCGTGTAAGCTCGATACTGAACTCGTATTCCGACCGAACGACCTTGTTCGGTATCGAAGAAGATGATAGCGCTTCGATAAAGACGCTAGAACCCATAGCCACACAAGCCCAAATTGGCAGAGCATATGAATCACCGAGGGAAGCCCCAATACCACCAAGCTCTCCCACTTCACCAACATCACCACGATCCCCAATGTCGCCAATGTTCACAAGCTCTTCAAGCCCTTCGAGACCGACGTCATCAGCCACGAAGGGGAAGTCTTGGAGCAAGCCATTCATGCTGATGCCATGAGATTCTGCAGGATCGAGACCCATAATGTTAGACTCGAGCAGGCATCGCGTTCAACCTCTTCTCGCATCTTCATCATCTGAGCATACTCAGACATCCGCGAGGTTGCTATAGATTGCGGGGTTGTATGCAGTGCAGTCTTGGGTGGCACGTGGCGGTACCAGCCTTACGGCACGGGGTGACATCGCAAGAGAAATAGGAAGGTGGTGAGCGACCTGGGCACTGCTATCATGCGAATGGCGGGCATGCACACGGCTAGAGAATGCCGATGTTACAGGCATGTAGTGAGCAACAGCACATGTGAAGTGCCCCACACCTACGCAGACATAGGCGTGTCCTGTACGATCCTGACAGCTCAGCGAGTGTACTGTTCAAGTTTCCTACAACATAGCACGAATATACCTAATACTTTTCAACGGACGTCAACAGATTTTTGGTTCCTGAGTGTATCTCTGAGCCGCATACGAGATCGTCGCAACTTGACGCTTATCTCATCAACCGCATTTGCTGAGGCGGGGTATCCCCGCATCCTACATCTGCACGACTCTGTCAGACTATCGCCAACAACTTCATGTCCATTGCGCAGGTCTATTATCGACGGTGTCTCTTCCTAACTGCCTCAAAGCGTATCCCGATGTTCTCGCACTCATATTGTATAATGTACTGTTGTCTGCAATGTCTACATGCCACCTTCGGGTCATTGTTCGCTGGTCCGAACCTAGAATCCGGCCCCATTTGATCCGTATGGTGCGGGGAATCTACCGGCCCTGTAGCCAAGACGCTGATCGCAGCTGATCAGACTCGTTCTACTACGTCAATGCATCTGACACTCTGCAGGTAGGTAAGCGTCAGGCATGCATCCACGGCGTTGACGTACAACCACCTCTTCAACGTTGACCGTCAGCCTCGTCGTTTCCAAGGCGCCAGGCTTATGCAGTAACCGAATGCTCTGCAAACGCATACTGAACGCCATGCATCAGATCAGCCGGGCCGGCCACGCGACTACTCTGGCCTGTCCAAACATGCGCCGAGCTACCTCAGTAGTAGCATGATCGTCGACGGTGTGCAGCCACCAGGATCATCCCGCCGCTATTCCCAGAACTAAGAATACCAATATGCAGCTGCAAAGCCGTCACAGGTACCATTGAACCATGTTGTCATGAACCCACCCAAGGCTTAAAAGCCGCCGTCGTCCTCCGCATCTCAACGGTTCCTTACCGCATCTTGGATGCGCACCTGCCAACCGATAACTTCATCATGCAGCTCAGTTTTGGGCTTGTTACAGGGTTGTTGACGTGGTCAGCTGTTGCTGCCACTGTCAATACGGTTCATCCGCGTCAAAGTAATCGGACAGACTACAAGGTTGGATATACTCCACTCAAGACGGAATGGACAGACACAGTGGGGACCAATCCTTGGCCAGAGTACCCACGACCACGCCTTCAGCGAACGGACTGGAAGAACCTCAATGGTGTATGGGGATACAGGAATACTACAAATGGTTCGGACGCATCACCACCTTTCGGGCAGACACTGGAAAACCCGGTCCTAGTTCCCTTCTGCCTTGAGAGTGCTCTCTCGGGTAAGTCAATCCAGATTTCCGGCTAGATAGGTTACTGATGCAGCCAAGGTGTGACAGGAAAGGGTCGCATGTGGAGTTGGTACCAGACATCATTCGCAGTACCATCATCATGGCCTAGCGGCAACAACGTCATCTTGAACTTTGGCGCTGTTGACTACGAGGCCACCATCTTCGTGAATGGCAAGAATGCTGGTTTCCATAGAGGTGGATACTTTGAGTTCAGTGTAGACGTGACGCAGTACCTGAGCGCAAATGGAACGAACGAACTGTGAGTATAGTAAAACGAGGATTGGAGACAAAGCTAAGGTCATCACAGGCTGGTATACACCTTCGACCCGACGGATGTGGATATGGTCCAAATACCGATCGGAAAGCAAACGTTGAACCGAGAGGGCATGATCTGGTACACACCATGCAGTGGTATCTGGCAGACCGTGTGGCTTGAGTCAACACCGAAAGAACATATTGCCAAACTGGACCTAACAGCGGATATGGATGGGACTGGTAAATATGGAACGTGCTCTCCTGTGGTCATTGCTAACATATCGAAGTAACCGTGACTGTTCACAGCAGCACCAACCTAACAAACATCCCATACGAGATTACAGTCCATGAACTGGGCTCAACCGATGCCAAGGCGACAGCCAAAGGTACTAGCGGATCCGCATTTACCTTCAACGTCCCATCACCAGAACTGTGGACACCGGACAGTCCCACCCTGTACAATATCACCATAAAAATGGCCAGTGACACCATCCAAAGCTACACCGGATTCAGAACTGTTTCCCGTGGCACCATCAACGGTATACAGCGCCCACTCTTGAACGGAAAGTTTGTTTTCCCCTTCGGTACTCTCGATCAAGGATACTGGCCAGACGGAATCTACACACCCCCAAGTGTCGAAGCCATGGTGTATGATCTCAAGGTGCTGAAGAATGTTGGCTACAACATGGTACGCAAGCACATCAAAGTTGAACCGGCCTTGTTCTACAGAGCTTGCGATGAGATGGGGATGTTGGTAATTCAAGACATGCCTTCTCTGCGTCCAGACCTACCGGACGGCTGTGGCAGTAAGCGATTAGCAGGCCAGGACGCGCAAGACGAGTTTGACCGACAACTAGCTTTAATGGTAGAGCAGCTCAAGTCATACCCCAGTATCTTTGCTTGGACGATCTACAACGAGGAATGGGGCCAGGATACCTCGCCTCCATGGCCCGAATTCCCATTGACAGAAATGGTAAGAAACATCGATCCGACTCGCCTAGTCAATTCTGTCAGTGGCTGGACCGACCATACAGCCGGCGACTTCGACGACAACCACCACTACTCCACACCCCAATGCGGCACGCCATTCTGGTCCCGCCAAGGCAACAACTACGACTCCGCCTACGACAGTTCGCGCATCGGTCTGCAAGGCGAATTCGGCGGCATCGGCACCCAGCTCCCCGAAGACAACTACGCGCACGCCTGGTTCAAAGACCTGGAGAAGCAGACCGCATACGAACTTACCAACGGAACTAACTGGTGGAACTACCGCTGTCACGATTTGCTCAACCAGTTGCGCGAGCAGATTGATCTTTTTGCTTGCTCGGGCGGGGTCTGGACGCAGACTACGGATGTGGAAGGGGAGGTTAATGGGATGATGACTTATGATAGGAAGGTCATTCGGATGAATGAGACTATGTGGAAGGAGGATATTCAAGCGCTTTATGATGCGGCGGAGAAACGGGCGAATAATGCGACGATGGTGATCAGGGATGTTAGTAGAGGGGGGTTGCAGTACGGTATGCTTTGAATCGCGAGCAGAGCACGTGAGAGACGTAGTTTCCTGTTGCTCAATTCCGTCATTACTATCTGCGCAAAACACGTGTCATTGCAGCAGAGTGATCTCTGAATTCTTTCAACTAACTCACGAGTTTCCGCCACTCCCCCTCCAGCATCCCCAACGTAACAACATCCCACCAACCCCCCTCAAACCACACACTCTCCCTCTCCCTCCCCTCAACCACAAATCCCAACCTCTCATACAACCTCAGCGCACCCTCATTCCAGCTAAACCCCCTAACCTTAACCCTATGCAACCCCGCCCGCCTAAACGCATAATCAAGCGCCCACCTAATAGCCTCAGACCCATACCCCCTCCCCTGATAACTGGGCAGGATATCAAGCCCAATTTCCGTATTGCGATGATGTTGTTTATGGGGCGGCAACATATCTAAATGGATTTCGCCTACAGCCGTACCATATTCTTCATCCACGATCTCCCCCTGCTTCCTCCTTGTCGCGAATGCTTTTTCGCGGTCTTCGTGATTCAAAGAGAGCGTTTCTGGCAAGTGGGGCAGCCAGATGATGGCGGCTAAAAGGCAGTCGTTTTGGACGCCTTTCATGAATTTTTCAGAGTCGGAGGGGCCGGGCAGCTTGATGTTGTCAAAGTTGCTGTTTGCGTAGCCGGTGTGGTCGGCGCTGAAGGCGTTGAAGACATTGATGTCGCAGGCGCGGATTGCGCGGTAGTGCAGGCGTTGGCTGGACCAGGGGTTTGGCTGGGGTGGAGGGTTTGGTGGTGGGGATGACATTATTGTAGTTATTTGGGGCGTTGCGAGTTTCTTGGGATCATAGGAAAGAACGTGGTTTTCGAGAGTGGGATGCCTGCGGAGATGTATTCGTTGGTAATGTTGCTGCCTCCCAGTGGGAACGTTGTATAAATTCGGCGGACGCCTAAATTTACGCCCTTCACGTGATTGCGCCCTTCATAGTCGCAAGAGCTGGGGGAGGTGATGCGAGATTAGACTTTGCTCAGATGGGAAGGTGGGAAGGCGATACGGAAGATGGGCACGGATTGATCCACTTCGTTTAGCAGTATACTTACAAGGGCGCTTTGACAACTTATAATATACATGTGTGTAAATACTCATAATAAGCAGATGCATTTATCTACAAGCCGTGGATGCAAACGTGAAGAGTGTCAGATGGAAGGGCGATGAAAAGACTATTCATTTGCTCTCACAACGATATCTCGCCTCTCCAGGTACCTTCAGTCAGCCCAAGAGTCTCGATACAATGCTGCCATCTCGGACCACCTCTCTCTTTCCGTCTCAGGTACTGTAGCAACTTCTGCCTCCTGTGCACCAGCAATTGCAGGTTCCGCTTGTTGTGCTTGTCGCCCTTTCCTCGGGCTTGCAAGAAGTCGGCCAGGGTCTTGATCTTTGCTGTCAAGATGGCGATCTGGACTTCGGACGACCCAGTATCAGGCCCGACGCGCTTTGCAGTCGCTGCAACATTTGTTTCTGGGCGCACGGTGCGGACTTCTTCGGCACCGGACCGGCTCAATGATGGCGCCTTGGGTGGGAACATCCTATCTGTGTTATGACGCCCGAATGTCTCCACACAGCGTGTGATGTTTACGCGCATGCGATCTTTGCTCGATCCGTTTTCGAGAGCGGTGAT